TTTGATAATTTTACTTTCCACGTTTAATGGCAAATATGTGGTAAGGTAAACCTTGAACATAAGCCTAAGTTCAGCTACTTTTAATATCAGTCTACGAAAAGAAACTGGTTAACACACAAAAAAAAAGTATATTCAACCTTGAAACAAAGTACTTAATCTAAACATAAACAAGCTTAATAAGCAGGGAAAAACAGGCAGTTCAGAGGTAGGGCACGTTCAGCATTGTTCTGTTGGGTAATTTATAGTCAACATTGAAAAACGCGGCGCTGGAAACGATGGCCATCTAGTTATTATCCACTCAACAAGAACCCTAAATCATCTGGCTGAGGCAGTTAAGTACAGCTATGTCATTCAGCCCGGGCGTCATCTTTATTGAAGATCCTTTGGCACAATCATAAATTTGAAACAGAATTCAAGAATATTTGATCTGTTTTTAATTCCAATCCACGACTGTCACGACCATGCGATGCCGAAAAGGGCCATTACTATGTCGCCCGGGGCTCTGACTAATGGAAATAGGTAGTGAAGCATGGTGAACCGGGAGACAGTTCTAAGTATTTCCCGAGAACTCATCAAAACTCGACGTACGTCCTGGCATGATTGAAAACCTTATTGTCTAACATGACCAAGGTCTAATAATTCTACGTTTGGGACACGAAAACTTTCAAAAACACGATAACGTATGTTCAATCACATTTTTGAGAAGCCGAGAGAATCTTTTATTTACAAAAATAAATAAATATCTAAGTATATTTTCTGCAGACGTTTTGATATAACAATAATTTTGTAGGTGGCGTATAGGTAAGCAAGCTTGATTGTGCAACAATTGAAAACGATCATTCCAAGAAACTGTCAGTTATTAACAGTTAAGGATAAACAATACTTAAACTGCTGTGCGTGACAAGCTCACACTTTACGCCGTGGGTTTAAACTTGCATATATTAACTAAGAAAAACTCCACTTACATTTCATGCGCTTGGGCCGGTCTTGTTTACGCCTAGGCATGCTGTAATGTCGAACGGAACAAATCCAGCTAAAGGCAGCTGTCTTCTACACAACATTCAACACTTCCCGCTGCTCACCTACCATTCAGTATAATGCGAGTAAAGCTTGTGACGTCAAAAAAGATAGACAGGTGGCACGCTAAGGATCATGGGAATTTCCTCCTCTTTCTACCTAACAGCAGACTTATATTAAGCGCCATCTAGTGAACATCGTAAGTATTTGTGAAGAATTTCGTCTCAAATTTTGTTGTTGTTCTTGGGAGATGGGAAATATTTAATAACTCAAACTTTAGCATTACCCTCTGCTACATCCAGGTGGATGAAAGTCCCAATGGTAATTTTAAGTAATTTGTTTTAAATTTAATTTTTAATCTAATGAAAAAGTACATTTAATTTTTTAAATTCTTTATTAAAAATGCGTTTGGCATTCCTATATTATATTTCATTATTTTTCTAACCCCATCCCCGGCAGGTTTGAGGGTTTATAACGCTAAAAATCGAGTTTCGATAGTCACAGTAGGTAAAGAAACGATAACTCGTAGCTAAATTTGCGCTTAACAAGCAATGGAATCAGTCGTTTTTCTTTTTCAAATGTGTATAATGTGAAATTATTTAAGTTCAGATATCGAACAGATTCTTCAACGTCTAAAATTAATACACGTTCTAAAAAATGTCAACAACAACAAAAAACTCAATAACAAGGAGGTTACTATTTAAGATAACAATACGTTTTAAAGTTCTAGAACATTTAAACCCTAGTGAGATATATAGGACCGCGGAAGAGAATGCTATTGTTAGGATGATAAAAGTAGTTGATAAAAATGTAAACAGATGGTAGCGTCGTGAATTTATTTCGACGTTAAGGCCATAATTATGTCAAACGGTCGTTTTGGACAATAATATAGGCCCGAAATAATTATGCCACCTGTTGTTTAAATTATCATATATTAACTACCAGCTATTTTCATCGTCATGAAGCTTACAGAGTTGAGTTAATTTTCATTAAATGACAAATTTTTGGTCACTAAACAGTATTTGAAAACAAATGTCAATGAAATAAGCTGAAAATTGTTGATATTATATCCATGTATTTTCAAAATTGATAACAATTCTAGCTTTCATTATTACATACAATTAATGTGTGTTGTTCAACCACTTGCTAATCTGTAGTTCTTACAATCCTGTATAACCACCTTCTGTGTACGTAACGCAGGACCAACACCACCATCAAACACAAGAACAGATGAAAAGTTTATTCACTCTTAACTTTTCGTAATGCTTGACATTTCCAAGATCTCTAATGACAAAATGTCAGCGTCATTTTAGTAGCTTTCAAGGCACAAATGACCTTCGTATAATTATGATATTTAGATAAAAGAGAGAGATCTTGGTGTAATGGTTGCCCAGTATACACAAATATAAATGTTGACAAGGTAAGTTATTTTCAGCTAAGACAGTTTTTTTTTCTAACAGGGTGGTTAGCCTCTGGAATGGGTTGCCTTCTGATTTTGTTGGGCAGTACATTTAAGTGAGTTTAAGAAAAAGTTTTATAAGTTTATTTAATATATTTGAGATTTTTTTTATAATAGTTTAGAGGATGGTACAGCCGAGATGGATCAACAGGTCTGTTGATGTCCCTAAACATTACGTTATTCGTAACAGTAAGATTTATTAACCTCATGCTATGCGTAACACGCGCACTTAACTACCCAAGTTTCTAATCTTCGGAACTAAAATTTTCAGTGGGCATTAATTGGCGGATTTTAGCCAGATTAATAAATTTAAATCAGTATACGATTTCGTATAAGTTATTTGTTGACTAAGAAAAATATTTTTAGTTTCAAAAATATATCGTAATGGCTGATAAATTCAATATTATACTATACGAGCGCCATTTTAATACTAGTACACTTGCATCACCGTGAGGCTTAGTAGTGCTTCTGACCAGACAACGTATTAAGCCTATTATTAGCTCAGCCAGATGAATAAATTGAAATAAGTATAAGATTTATTAAAGTTATTTATCGATTAAGAAAATGTTTTTAAGTTTCAAAAATATAATATCATAATGCTGGTATATTGCCTACCATACAATACAAGCGCCATTTTACTAACACAACTACATCACCGCGAGACTTAGTTGTGAAGTTCGTCTGACTGGATATGTATTAGGCTCATTTTTTAAATAAAATTAGAAGAGAATTGTGGGTCCATTTTCACGAGATTCGATTTACTAAAACTTAAAGTCAAACGTATACAGATAGTAAACAACACGAGCCTAGCAAGTTATGATACGTACAAAAACAGTAGGAAAGAAAGAGCGTTGGGCAAATAAGATTATACAAAAAATAAAGGGATCTTGTACAGATACAAAACATTTTAAGAATAGGCGCAAGAGGTTCAGTAACAAACATATCAACTTATGGAACTGAACACCTATTTATTTTAGAAATTAAACTTTGGTCTTCATACATCGACACAAAATCAGTTCTTGACGTAAAATTTGGTATCGAAGTTAAGGAAATTTTCGCTGAAATTAAAACGAGGCCTACCAAATGTTATATATAAAAATGCCTAATTATTTTATTTTTGTATTTACAAACCACACAAATCGCGTCTACTTTAACTTACATTCTGTATTAGAGAATTGGCAAGCCCGAATTATGCAAAATGTTTCTTTATAGGTAGATTGTTTGATTTTCTGGTCATTCTGTGTGTATCAGTTTATCAACTTCGTAAAATCATTCACACTTTTCAACTCAAAACTATCATTTCGGAAACTTGTGTCTTTATTACATCTCACTTGATTTTAAAATTTACGAAACTCCTACTTTTACTCAAAACTGGTTATCAGTATTTTATTTGCTAAAAGATTTTTACAATAAAAAAAAAATTAATGTATAAAATTACAAAAACACCACCCCCGACCGTTCCTAAAGCGTCGTAACAGTAAAATATACACAGGCACAGTGTTCATTATAACTATATTCATTTATTAACTGAATAATGTTATAAACGCAGTTTTAATTTTTTTAAGAGATATTTCTAAATAACTAGAGTTTAAACATTTAAGAATAAAAAAAAATTACATAAAACTGTTTTAATCTCTCGATAAAAGTTTGTACATTTTGTTTAAGATAAAAATCATTAAACGTGTTTAGCTGTTAAATTATAAAAAAAAAATCCACATAATAAACCACTCCTGCTTTAAACCCTAAAAAATCAGTGATATATATTGTGTAAACATTCTAACCAGTTTTAAGTGTTGAATCTACCCACACAACACCTATACCCAGTCAACAAATATACGACTTGAGTAAAAAACAAAGTATTACTAAAGCTTGTGTTATTTTACAATTTATTTATTGTCACATACAAACTTTTAAAAACACAATTTTATCAAAGCAACGTTTAAAGACCGTTTTAACTTTTTATTAGTTAAATAGTTTCATAATTGTTAAAATACTCAATCCTACCAGCTGAATGGAAATTTTAATCTAGCTTATAAAAACAGGGTATTAACACTTGTCTAAATTTTAAATCTATAAAGTCAAGCAATATTAGAAGTTTTTCAAACAATCTGATGTGAACAACTTATCACAGTTAGTGAATTATAGTTTTATTTACCTATATAATACTCAGTTTTCTTTATTACACGACTACTTAAACCTAGTCATTTGTAGAAACTAGTCGAGTTAAAAAAAACAGTGCTAAAATAAAGATCCTAATAACCTAAGGTATTCATACATCATGTTATTCTGGGGAACATGTACAATGTGCTAGTTAGCTTAAAAGCAAGTGTATTTTGAACAGTACCAGCAAATTCTAAGAACTACGTACATACACTGAAATCACACTTCATTCTGCTATAATCTCTAATACCAACAAAGCTAAAAAAAATAAATACAAGCATCCATCAAAAATGACAAGTGGTTATTTAGTTTTAAAAACAAATATTAATGAACTTAAAAAAAAATTTGTAAAAACCTTCCAAAATTCACGAGAAAACTCCAAGATGTTTTTATTTCCATACCACCAGAAATACCATACACAACAACCTAAAAGGATCTCCGATATTTAAATAGATAAATCTGTATAAATGATGGTTTCTATTTTATTTTACTCAGCATCACAACATAACACTTAAAAAATCAACACTTTTTCTTTTATACACTAAAAAGCTAACTTCATTTATGTTTTGAAACAATTAAAAATTTTTTACCATAACGTACAAAGTACTACATGACAAAGAAAGTCTTAGGGATAACATTTTGTAATGGTAGGGCTGCAACACCTAATCATATTAAATCCTTTGTTGTTTTTTTTCAAGAATTTCTTTGTAACATGTATACAAACAAAACCAAAGACATGCATATATGTACGAGTGAAAAAGTTAATGTTTGAACACAACATAGCACTGAAATCATATAAAAAAAAAAGGTAAACAGATACCATAAAACTGATTAAGACTAAAACCTACTTTTTCTATTAAAGATATTTCTTTAACTGACCCTTTACAAATACAATATCATACAGTGCCTACATCTCTTCTTGGAGACTAGGGGGTGTATCCGTTGTTAATGTAGAAGCTGGTATATATTTAATTCTGAACAAAATTCAATTAGAAGCAGAGTTGGAGATAATTCTAAAACTGAAACTAGGTGGCATTTTTCTTATGTCATAACACACTAAAAACTATATACACACAAAAAATACCTACTACAATTGTACAATTAACTACACTTTTAATATGCCTGAGTGGGTTAAAGTTTTTTTCTTACTTAATAAAGAGTTAGGTCGCACACTTGAGAATTACGATTAATACAAGCAAGTCACAAATATAAAACCCTAATGTACAACTTCTATGTTACAAAACCAAAACATGTGATGACAAACAATGATGAACTGATGTCAATAGTGATTTAAAGTTACTAGGCTGACATCACATCAATTTTAAACTACAACTTTGATTTATATATGTAAGAGACAAATCTGAAACAAACCTAGAATAAGCACAATAATTAATAATGAACTTATTAGTGTCCTCTAGAAAAACTGCCCGCGTGATTTGATGAATCACCAATTTTTTTTTTCATTTAACATGTTTGGTAAACTATTTGGCTTATTGGTAGATTATCAAATCAACACTTCCAAAACACTTACCAAAACAAAAAGATGCCACGCCACCAGGTTAATAAGTAACAGATGTTACCACCAGGTCACCAGTGCCAACAATACAATATTTCCAATTTGATACAATAAATCATTACAGAAAATACTTTGGAGTTGTCATAACTTAGAATTTTTTAACGCAGGCAATCAATATCCAAACCTCATTATCAACATCAACTATCAATACATTCCCTGCTCATTAGGACTAATTTAACTTTCCAGAAGCTACAGAAACACTCTATATTTAAATATCATTAAAAAGAAATATTACCAATTACATAATATACATCAATGAAAAATATACTTACAATATGTTTTTTTAATAATCAATATACATTATTTCATGACTTGTGGGTTCATCAGAACCTTTAAATCACATTTTACCACAAAAACATTACCAGAATTGTAGGTGTTGTTTTTTTTTCTTGCTCACGAGCAGTGTACTTCACATCATATACTGGGGCACACACACACACAAAAAAAAAAATCCAATATCCTCAGATTGTTAAATATTCAAAATAATTAGCAAATTCAAAAACAATTCCTAACTTCTAATGTCAAACAAACAATCAGCACAAGAGTAACTACCTCTGAAAAAAATATATGCGTGTTAATATGTATATGAGTGTGTGTATATATATATATATATATATATATATTTATATATAATCTGTACAATTTTTACAATGATTGTAAATGTTCATATTGAAATCACAATACCTTGAATACAAAGTCTTTTGCTGCGCAACATTTGTTACTGCTTGCTGAACTATATGCTAACACTTTCTTCACGCACAATTTTAACACTTACATTTGCATTTTGGTTCATTCCATCTGGATGGCCGAGTTACGTAGAAATGCTCATGATGACGACGTGGAGCTTTAAAAACAACGATCGTTTATTTACCCAAGTTTCATTATACTAATGTTAATAAAAAAAAAGAAAAACAACATAGCACAAGATTTTTTACAATACGGCACTTTGCAACTCAAGCTGAACATTCCACTATCGACTGTCGAGGTATAGCCACAAAAGGAAGACAAGTTATGTCTCAGCCCCACGACGCTACTTTGTCGGATTCCAAGGATGAAGAGTGTCCAGTCGTCGGTAAAAAAGCATGTACGGAACTCTTGGTGGACTGGGCGAAAGAAGTTGGGTATCTGTGATAACGGTAATCGTGCTGTCGTCACAGCGAAGCCAACTGCCGCTTCCAACGTGGTACACGTCGGTAATGTAGTGTCCTTTGCTCAAGTCTTTTCCCTCGTGGCATACCACTAAAAATTAAGGAAATGTTAGGTGTACACATACAATAGTGGAAAGTAAACTTCTGTAGAACTGATATACTAACAATGAATATCTGGGATTATTTTAAACTTCTCACCCATGAAAATAAAACTTGTTGCCACCCTTAACAAAGGAGTTTTAAAACAGTAAATGTTTTAAGGTTGTCAAAAACTGTAAAATTCAACTCTACATTTACAATGAACATGCAGGAATGTCCACGAAGACACAAAACAGTTGAGTAATCCCGTGTTTCCTCTTTCCACCAACATAACGAAGAAACGGGACACAAACTTAACACTAATCTGGAATTACCGATTAAAGAAACTGTCAACATCAAACTAGTTTCACCAACACTGAACATGAAGTACGAGTCTAAATTGTACATGTACAGTGTTTGTTTGTTATTCATCTAATTGTTGTAGTTTTGATAAATTACTGTTAGTATGGCAATGTATTTAATAAGATATTGAAGTTGGAATCTATTAAATTTTGAAAAAAAAACAAACTTAGAAATAACCCCTGCCAAATACATATTTTCATTTACAAATGACTTTCAACAGAACAGTAATAATTGTAAATTAATTACAAATAGTTATGGAAAACTTTGTACAGAATACAATAAATACTTATGTTTTTAAAAAAGCAAAAAACTACTTTATTTGTGTAGAAATATCCATAAACAAAGGAATATAATGGAACAATTGTCATCTACATACCAGCAAACAGTTTATAAGATCGTAGAGCTCGGGCACTATACTTCCTTCTGACACCTGGAGACAAGGTTTCTACAAAAAATAAATTTAAATAATCACTTCAATACTTCTAAATGTATCGCACGTTTAAAACAGCAACTTCTGCTTGACAGTCTTTAATACTGAAAATGTCAAACAAACGTGAAAAACTGATGGAAGACAAAAAATAAAATGTTTTATGCTCTTTTTAAATCTTATATATTAAATTATATATATATACTCTTATTTTATTTAATGATAGCTACGTGCATGACAAATCAAACAACTGGGTCCTATATGATGACATCGTACTTAAAAATCTTAATCTCTACACTCGATAAAGACCTTGGGCACTTTTACATTCACTGAAATAAAATCAAACGAAGTCCTACCTTCTGATATTTCTAGATCTATCGAAAAGTTAACATCCTTAAGAATTTTCTTAGGTCCACCCCTGTTGTACACAAATCTCTTCAGGTGGAGTATAAGTACCAGAGGTAGAATGCTGAAAGAGCTTTGACGAAATGCCTCGACCTAATAGAAAAAATATTAACATTATATTTTGCTTTTAGTGTATTCAATACACAATGTTACTTCAACATTCCAGGACAAACTCTCTGACAAGTACTGATTCAAAGAGAAACGCTTCCAAAAGTAATACTGAATTAAAACGTAGTCATTAAGGAAAGCAAGACAGTTTCTTACTCTCACTTACACAGTTACAAAAAGAAAAATCATAGGTAAATTTAGTTTGAAACAATTCTCATAAAGTGAAGATGAACAAGCACAACAAGGAACTATGGCATGTTGAGACACAACTCGTGCATCCAAATCAGGAACACAAAGCAATACCCACGAGGTAAAATAGATGTGGAAATAACAGAAACATCAAACAAATGGCTTTCCAAAAAGGTAACCCTTGCCACAAACAGTTGAAATTTGGTGCATCAATTTTATCAGTTGTTTTAACTTTTCATCTGTTAAACCTTAGGCTGAAACACACAGTTTCAAAAACCCCCAAAATAACAACAAAAAAGGTAACCCTTGCATGAAACAGTTGAAATTTGGTGCGTCAATTTTATCAGTTGTTTCAACTTTTCATCTGTTAAACCTTAGGCTGCAACACAAAGTTTCAAAAACCCCCAAAATAACAACAAAAAAGGTAACCCTTGCCAGAAACAGTTGAAATTTGGTGCGTCAATTTTATCAGTTGTTTCAACTTTTCATCTGTTAAACCTTAGGCTGCAACACAAATAGTTTCAAAAACCCCCAAAATAACAACAAAAAAATATGATAAAATGAAGAGTTTACCTCTTGTTTGGTCTCCGTACAAGTGTAGTCTTGGATCGATTCTTTTGCCGTCATATGAGCTAGAGCATCATTCACCCACTGGACATTGTCAGCCTGGTGTGAGTAAGGTGGCAACATTTATTTTACACTCGACAATGACAAGATTTTGAAAAAAAACAATTCCTTAAATGAGAAGTAAATTCAAGTCCAAGATATATCACATATTTAGCTATCCTTGTTTCAGTAATTATAAAGCTTACACTGATCAAGGCTTCTAAAGAAAGATCACTTCACCTTCCATAAATTCAAGTTAAAAAAAAAATGAACTATAATATTTAGGAACAACTAAAACCACACAAATTCGTACACAAATATTTTAATTTGGGAGTTATCTGCCTTTGATCGTATAAACACCAAACAAGACTATTAACAGGATATTCTCTACAATTAAGATATTCCTGTAATTCAGTAGGGACAATAAATGATATTGACCTGAATGTCCAATGGTAGAGTGAAGAAAGGCTGTAGGTTTGTTGAAATTTCATCTCCTGCAGTTAGCACTGTCGTCAGTTGCCCGCCAAATATGTCCGAGATGGGGGAGTCCAAAAAACACATCTGAAAATAAAAGGTTGCACATTTTAAAATGATAAAAGACATTAAAAATTCGAATAAATTAAAATATATATAATATATGGAAGCTGACGACACGCAATTTGAACCATTGTTTGTTAAAACATGGGTTAATAGTTAATTCTGCCAATGAGCACAGACCTGTATTTAATGAAGTAAGTTCAAAACTTGAATACTATACTTTTGCAGAAAACTTTGACCTTCTCAGTGACCTTAACTTCAAAATTGATCAAATACATGCTTTCTTCTATACATAAAACTCCAATATCTCAATTTGAACTGTCTACAAATATACATTCCTCTTGTAAAGCGAGTGGTAAGATACTTAGTCTGTAAAACAAGATGGCTTACTGAATTTATAGTCACATTCTTGTTTTCTTCAGGTTCATGTTCTGTGATGTGTCCATTTGACAAGTTGTCTTCATGCCCATCTATAACAAGATTTAGGTTTTTATTAAATCTTCAAAACATAAACACAAGCATATTTTAACACGTTCTTCACAAAACACGTAGCTAGTTCTTTGTTTCATTAGACCTCATTAAACTAAAAATATATTGAAAATCATGTGGTTTCAAAGCTAGTTCTTTGTTTCATTAGATCTCATTAAACTAAAAATATATTGAAAATCACGTGGTTTCAAAGCTAGTTCTTTGTTTCATTAGACCTCATTAAACTAAAAATATATTGAAAATCATGTGGTTTCAAAGTTTTATTTGATGTAAACAAAAAAAATTGCTGAAGTCCTAACCCTAAATTCAATAAAAACAGACTGTTGAACAAGAAAATAAAGCTATCCATCACTTGTCTCAATACTGCAGCAAGTTATTACGTGAGGTCCAATGGACCAACACCTTTCGCATGGTTTAAGAAAGGCTCAGTGCTTTATTTGGCAGGAGAAAACCCCACTTTTACACATCTGTAGTTCTCCACATTAAACAGGTAGAGAAATAATAATAGTCTTACTGCATTTTTTGTCTACAGAATTCTTGAAGTTATCAAGCACAGCCACCATTTCTTCGTGGAGTCCATTAAGCAAAAAACCAAGAACCTCTTCAGCGTCTTGCTGGCAATCCTTTAATGAACAATTGGAAGTAATTTATTAGTACTAAGGAATACAACCAACATTACATGAACAAACGCACCGTGAATACCACAAGTTCTAAAACTAAAATTACGTCAAACATATATTACAAACATCACACGCATTTTCAATTAGAAGAAAAATAAGTCTTGTTTTCTTTTACAATAGAAAAGATTTAAAGTATTAATTTTCTAACTGGAAACTATATGTAGCTTTAATAGCTAAATAATCTTTTGTTCATTAATAATAATGGTCTTTTATAAAACAGCATCACACTCAAAGAAGAATACTTTGATTAAACCTATAAGCACGATTCACACAAACAAGTACAGACATTCACTTTTTGTCGATAACTAAAATAACACAAGTTTTCTTTCCCCAAACCACAAACTAATGTTTTATAATCTTCATTACAGTTACCTATACTGTAAACAACATTTTATGACGTGTGCTTACTTTCACATCTCAAGTGTACTCCCTTTAAACGTAACATTAACGAGGTGCGTGGCTGACACGTTATCATAAAAGCTTTGTTGGAAAACATGGAAACGGTAATCTTTCCAGTGTATTTAATTTTCAGTAGTCGCTAGTGTTACAAATAACATAAAAACAGCTATAAGCCATATGGAACATCTTTAAGGTTACAATTTCAAGAGTGGCCAAAAGTTTTATGAAGTGACAGTATTAAATCTGTCAGACTTCATTACATAGATCAATATATTTTTGCTTCAAACCTTCCTGTTTATGAAAGTCACGTGTACGGCTGAAAAAGTTGCTCATTGTAAAATGTAGTCTCTTTTTAACACCATGTTATGAAACTATCCAACAAAAAGTACCTGAACACAGTCTGGTTTCAGAATAGTGAGCAAGGAGTACACATAGTGAGGTTCGAAAGGAACCCCAAAACTGAGATCTTCTTTTCTCTTCCTCTTGCTGCCATATGGCATTGGCGAGAACTCATTCATGAAACACGTCCTAAAACAATACCAAAAATAAGAATAACTAGGTGAAGTTGGTGCAAACATACAATGTATTCTGTACTAAACGAGGCATTTATCAAGTGGAAAATATTTCAAGCTTTGTAAATAGTTAAGACAAATATGTGTGTGAGACACAAATTTAATTATTAGCACTCTTTACCTATTACTAAAAAGGCAATCTGATTCTATTTGATACACTGCATAGAAGTTAAATATTACATTTACAACATACTAAGAAGTTACAAAAAATTACCCGAGATTTTTCAAAATACATTGAACAAATAGTGCAGTAACATAATTAAATTCTTAGAACTTCAAATGAGACCCAAAACTATCACTTTCAATTAGTTCACTATTCTTTAGGAGAATAAGTTTTCAAACTCTAATGATAATACATTTAAAAACAACTCACAGACTGTCAATGACCGGGGTTGAAGAGTTATTTCTGTTTATTCCATCCCGAGATAACCTCTTCAACAGGTTATAAAGTGGAGGACACACCAATAATGCTTGCAAGATCTAATTTTTCTCAATTAAGGATCAAGGTATTTAAAAATCACCAAATCTTCTATATCACCTGCTTAATAAATGTGCAATTAAAAATTTATTTTTTGTACAAAAATTCTTATAATAAAATATGGAAACTTTTACATCTATTTATAGAACAAATTTCGTGCAAATCGTAAACTTTAATAGAATAATATGCCAGTGGCGATACAAAACAAAAAACAACAAAGTAATTTACTATTTATATTTTAGAAAAATTAAGCATTTAAAACCTAACAGCAAGAAACTGTCTTTACTGACTAAAGCAATTCAGTGTATTTCAATCAGCCTACAAAGTATTTATAGTGTTGTGCTAGACATATTTTAAGAACCCATGAGTGAAAGCAAATCTAATACCAACAATGCCTTTCACTCAATACCAGGATTAATCAGGCTGGCTCGGATATGACGTTGTAGTGATCTAGGTGCTATATATCATTAGTATTTATGAACAATGACTGATATGGTGTGAATCAGATTAAACAAGTTAATTACATATTTTAACAAGTCACACTCCTTCGGTAACAATACATAATTAGCAATGGCATAGTGGCTCATAGAATGGCTCCAGGCTTTTTTTACAAGTACAAACTTTTAGCTCATAGCTCCATCTATTGACCGATTGGAGATCTAATTACAGCCACTGATATTTTGGATTCCCCCCTTTCTTTTTTTATGTTCATTACTCTACTTTTATGTTTTGATCTGGGCCTTATGGAACTTTGACTGTTTACAACTGAATCCCATTTAAACACAAGTTCAGGTTCTTTCAGCTTGAAGTACTCTTCATACTGATATCTACCTGAACAGAAGGACGTGACAAATGGGTTAAAAGGTTATAAAGTCCAACATCATAAAGGTCCAGGCTAAGCAATCCTTCATTTAGAACTGTTGGCCAGAAGTGGGGCAACCAATCACCACTAGCCAATGTCTACTCTTAACTAAATAGTAGAGTTGACCAATAAAGATGTTGAGCAGAAGATTGCTTTTTAAACCTGCCAATCAAGAGCACAGAAAACTTTCAACCACGTGATAGTGCGACTCCAACCAAATTTTATACACCATAGTGCACATCAGACTGGTAGCTCCAAACATGGATGAGGAATTATTTTTAACGCTACACAAGTGCAGAGCCAATCAGCTTTCAATATCCAGGCTGTACCAGAATATTGGGGAGTCATTGAAGGCTCCTAAAAGCTCCTGGTTGCGTGAGCAAGGACAGATATGCCATTATTTTATACTTCCCTTCTATACTACTATAAGCCTACAGTAAATGGAATATCACTGAATGTACCAAATATACATTATCTATTTTTACAATAAAAAAGAAGACTTTTCATCAAGTGTAATCATTCCTAGCCCTGAAAAATTCTAACAATGAATAGTACAGCTAGTAATGTTGAGGATTTGGCTCCTCATTTCCTTTCCAACTGATAAACAAATACTGTATTCCAAAGCATCTTAGGCCCTTCTAAAGAATTGTTTTGGGGCCAGGGACTGGAAGTTATATATAAATTGAAGAAATGAAAATTATAGAATCAGGTATGGTTAGTCTTTCTTACGTAACCATTACAAATGTCAGACACCTTTCCTACAACAAATGCTGTGTATATAATGCCTGTTCTCTAACATTATTATTTTAACTTAATTGTAAAAGTAAATTGGTACACACTGCATTTGATGTAGTTTTATCCTTGGGTTGGCTATAGTCACAAGATTCTCCTATTCCTGTCAGCATTACAAGTTTAATAAAACTTAAACACAATAATGTTCCATAATCTACATAATTACGAGTGAAAAAGGATACGGCATTAACGTAGCACCAGTTGCTACGATTTACCAGTCCTCGGGGAATTAGAAACTGAGCAGCATGATTCAGTCGTACACTAATCAGTATCTCTAGGAAAGAAAATAAGCAAGGATAGATATATATATTAAGGTCTATATCAAACCCTTCCTTAAAATTAAATCCTATAAATAAATTTCTTTACATTAATATAAGGTATACTCATTAGGTATCTTACCTCGTACATATTTTTACCAATCAACAAAGCATACCAGAATGTATAAAACTTTTAAAAGTTCTTATAATATTATGAAATACCAATATTAATCAACAGTTCTTAGCTCATTGTATTACGGCTGATGCCATCTAGATACAAACTTCTGTAAACAAAAAGAGAATTAACAGAGAATAAAAATGTGCTTAATTTATAGCGTACAAGTGTTCGACTAAAGATAGATACGGTAAAATTCATTTTTCACTAATAAGGGCTTCTAGGAATACCATTTTTGTGAATAGCAACACATTATTTATGAACAATAAACTCAACCTACTAATCTGGTTCACAACATCAAAACATATGAAATGACTTTAAAATCGGCCCTGCCAAATGAAATATATCATGACAAACAGTAATTATGTTACTAATTCCAGAAAGTCCTTCATATACATAAAAGCAATGCAAACACATTTATCATTGTCACTGCCACAAGAGGGTCAGTTTTGATTAGATCATACAGAGAACAGATAGAAATTATCTAATTGTTAAATTTAAAGATATGATCTAAATTCTCATACTTGCTATTTTACAAGCCGTGAGGTCTGTAGAAACATGATTCTTTAGGCACACCTCCGAGACCTTGCGAGTGGTAGTTGTGCAGGCAGCTGCCTCCGTCTCAGTTACAGCATCTTTTTCAGATGTGGAGTTTCCTAAACTCATCATCTTGAACAGATCTGCCCAGGATCTGTGCTGTTGAATACCACTATCTGGCATATCCATTTCAACTTGATCACGCGTTTGAATATCACCAGATAAAACAGACTTGGGTAGAGATACGTACCCATCAGTTTCTGAAGATGTTTTTTCATTGTGATTTTCTATTTCACAACTATCTTTGTCAGTAACACCCACACTTTTCTCAGTTAACTTTACACTTAATGCAGACAATTCTGACGAACACGAAGAAAAGCGCCGATTACTATTTTCTGACAAGTCAGTCAGCGAAATATCAGAGCTTGTAGCATCTCCCAACACCCACTCTGGCTTTTTCTCAACTTCTGACTCAACAGTAACCAGAGTAGGAGAAACAGACACTTCACTAGTGTTGGATAACTCCGAGAGTTGTATATCACCGTGTTCATCTCTACAAGTTTCTGCTTCGAATCCTGCCACAGTCTGCTTGGAGAGAATTCCCTCGGAATCAGAAACACCATTGCTATCAACACTCTGTTGGTTTATACAAGTATTTACACAATTATCTACATTTAAATCTACACTTTTATTATCACTGTTTGGCTGATGGTTCATCACTGTCTCACAATAGTTATAACCATTCTGAACATCAGATGTAGTCACACACACGTCGGGTAAATACTGATCACAGGCGTGACCATTACCTACTACTTGGTGTACAGCAGTGGAAGGAGTAGGGTGGGGCATGTAACCATGGTGATAGGGTGAGGGAATCACAGGCACACAAAACATCGGCGCCGATCCCGTATGCGGATTGGCCATTGAAGAATAATGCATTGTTATTTCATGGGGGTAACTCGATCCCATCCCAGCCATAGGTATAGTTCCATTTGTCATGGGGTAATTAGGGGGTGGAACATTGAAAGGCACCACTGGGTTATGAGACAAGACCGACTGATCATTCAGAGGGATCATTGTGGCCATCTGGCTATCGAGGACCACAGATCCTGGCTGGTAAGCATCAGTGTTCACGCACATTTCAGAAGAGGCATAATAGCTAAATGAACGCTTCTTCTTATTTCTTCGAAGATACTGCTTATCGGATGAAGATTGACCATTCTGCTTTGAGTCTTGACCTTCAGTTTTATCAGTAACACTTGTGAAACTACCAACGTTTGAGATAGGAGGAGGATAAGGATAATGACATGCTTGAACGATGTTTAAATCTTGTTGGTGAACATTCTGTGTGAATAAAGGTAAACCTAAATACTGTGGAATAACTGGATATGTATGAGGTATGAATGAAAAAGGCTGTTCTGCAGGAAGATAGGAAATGCTAGTGACAACAGGCAAGAATGGTGGAGGAGCCACAGCAGTGTTGATTTCGGTAACGTCGTGCGATGCTCCGGTGCTGTCGTAATTGGTGTAGCACACGAGAGTTGACTCTTCATTTTCACATTCCAACTGAATGTCTCCATTTTCATCTAAACAAGTAAACACCGACCAAATTATATAACAAAACAAATTTAATATTGTTTTTTTTTTATTCAACTTTGGTAATTCACAAATATTCCAACTTATGTGAAAAGTACGTTTTATAACTGTCATTATATGATACTGTAACAACTACAGTTTATGAAAAGAATTAACTCAAAAATGTATACAGTTTTTGGAACAACTATCTCACAGACACGAGCTACAAGTTAAAAAATAAAAATAAATGAAGTGTCAGTAAATTTTGTTTCAACAAGTTTAAAAATACACATTCTGTCTAGCATTTATATCAAAATGTGTCTGCTGAAAGAGCACTTCTGTATCCTGGTGCACACAGAAATAAAGCCACTATAAATCCAAATCTTTTTACTAACCTGTTGCTGATGAAAAGTTGTTCACAGCTGTTTCATATCTCCAAGGGAGCTTAAAAAAGAATTTTATTAGTTTAAAATATTAAATCTTCATTAAGACAACATAAAACTAAGTAAAAACATAGCAACAAATTTAACTGCAACTAAACATTTTTATTTAAAGTTAACCTATAATTTACCCTCACAAATTGCAAAGTAAAAATTGTTTAAGGTTTTACTTTTTTTTTCTTCATTCCATCTACTTTTAGAAGCATCATTTACACATTAATTAATTAACAATTAACAACACCGATAATTATTTTTTAAAGATAGAATACTGGCAAAACAAAGGCATACAAAAAAATTATTTAGAAGTATGAATTTTATTAAATTGAATTGTCTGTTATATCTTTTATAATTAAAAAAAACAACAACTCCCAATGTACATTGATTATTCACGATTACTTTTGTAACAAAAAATACTAAACCTAATTGGCTTACTACAGACAAATGAAAAACTGATATAAATGCTGTAAGTTTAAATTTACAGATGTGATGGAAGTTTTACAGAACTATAAGAAAGTGACTGAAGAAAAGGATTTTTAGTAAAATAATAAATAAATCTCTCAAGCCACTGAGGAAGTGTTTTAGTCATTGCTAGTAAAAAAGCTAATCCAATTTTAGAAGAATCTACATTGTAATTACAGGTCAAAAGAGGTAATCATCTCTATATAAATAACTAGTTAGGCCTCCCTTGGAATATTATGTACAGTTCAGGTTTCATCTAAGAATGGAGGAGCTACCTTACAGACAGGTTAAGATATCAACTTATTTTATCGAGAAAAAAATGGACAAGATGTGAGCTTATTGGGCTTTACAAAACTAGATTAGAAAAACAAAAAATATGGCCTTACTTCAACGTAGGAATTTGAATCTGCAGGATTAAGGATCTCACATAGTTCATTAACTTCTTTTTCAGGTATATCATTCAAATCCAGAAATTGAAAGTCCTAAAAAAAAAAAATACATATATTGAAATTAACAAAGGACCTTTTTTAAGTTTTTAAATCTTTCAGAGCAGAATAACAAGCTTTTAAAATACAATTTTCTAATATATTTATGCAGCAATTTGCTCATGGGTCCAAGTATACAAGTAACCATTTCCAAGATGTAATATAGCAATAACACCATGTATAAATGTAATAACTCAATAATGTCCACAGAATACATGCAGTCATGCTGGGAACTACCTAACCATGTTTTCACAAGGTCACATAAGTTGAGAGGGCAGTCGAAGTCACCAAGAAACCATCAGTCCACTTACAGTACCTACGTCCATGGTAAAAAGAATAACAAAACAAATTTTACAGAGCTTGAACTGCCATCTCTGAAGCTACACATCGCTTTCGAAAAGCCACTTTAGGGGAGGTAAATGAATAAAATTAAGTTAAGGCCTGCTATAAAATGTGCCGTAAACTTGTTTTCAAAATAAATTGAACAAAACTGGCAAAACAAAATACTAAATCGTATATATCAATTTTAGTCATGCTGGGAAACACCAACCTATGCTTGACCCTAATTACCCCAAAGCAGAAGAAAATTTTTAACTGTGAGAAGAACGATTGTTATTGTTGCAAAGCCAAGACGAGATTTAAGCTATTCAGTCTAAACATTTATGTTTTTGTGTTATAATCTGTAGTCATTCTAGAACAAAAAAGGCATAATTTATATTTATTTCCTAATTTTTTTTAACATGGTTACGAAATCGGTCAAATCGACCAAACCCATACAAATTCATTACTGAAAATAACAGGTATAATAAAGTTTTTTCTTAAGAAACGTTTGATAACTATCTGGACATTATAAAGATTTTGCATATGAAATTTGAACATTTTCTGATGCATAAAAGTATTTTTAATCTTAAAATGAAAAAATTACTTTGCATGTTGGGTAGGCAACATATGAAAATAAATAAAAGACATGAGAAAAACACTGCTTTACAAACCTTAACACGTAATAAAAAAAGTTATATTTTAAGTATGAAAGCATTGTAATGTTTACTGATAATCTGCCAAATTTTGTGAAAAATCGCTTACTAATTTAAAAGTTTTAGCATGAAAACTATAACAACCACATAATGTTCATGAGGTCAGTCTCCGGGATTGAGCCCATGCTGAAAGAGTTAAAAGATGTCAAACATCAGATATGCAGTTGTTCTTGATAACCCATCGTACTTCACGCACAGTACCTGATCTCACAAATAATCACATCATATGAGGACACTCACGCACAGAACATTTGGTTTGTTTGTGTATGAAAGAAGTAAAAACAAAATATTCATTTTAGTGTTCTAATGTCTTACTAACTTTAGAGCAATATTTTCATTTAAGATATGCTATATCCATGGCTTGACCCACGTAAATATCTCAGCTCGAGGATATCGCTAATTTCCTATTTGTGCAAATACCTCAGTAAAACAGCTATCAATGAAACGATTGTGATATCAGATTGATTTGCATATTTGTGAGGGAACTTGTTAACTGGTCACACCTGTTTAGTCAAACCTTCATAGTTTTCAAAGTAAACATGACTTTAATCAGAATATCAAGCAGCTAAGGAAGTCGATAACTGATCACAAACCATTACTAGTTGCACCTCTGAAGATGAATGGTAATTGACAAGCAGCCTGGTTACTAGATTAAAGGTTGTCTACTCAAACTTCCAACTATTACATAATGATTCAAAGCTTCACCCTCACAACTTGACACCCAACGGTTTTTCATTCCCACTTCTAAAATCATATAGTGAACCCTGAAATGGGGGGTTTAAATTTATATTTTTCTCCAGGGTGGAAGGACTAAGTGGTCCTTTGTCCATATTTGATATACTTAGGTTTATTCTTTATTGTTCTGGTAAACTAAGAAAGGCAGAGCAAACATGAGATGCGTAACTGTTTATGTACAAATAAATTTTTTTTAAAAGCTCAAAAACCTGTTGTGGATTGAACAATTTGTGCACATATACTAGTGATGCACTGATTATTATAATGGTGATAGTGGCACTATTAAAAACATTAGAATCTCTAATTCCAACAACTATGGATATTGATAATCAAAGGAATTAATTTAAGCCAGTACAGAAAATGATATAATTTGTGGTACTTTAACATATATCCAGATATATTTTTGTTGCTGTACATTTAAATTTTTTTCTATGGGAAGTGTTTACATTAAGTATGATGGATAACTTACTGGTTTATCGGTTAGTTCACGAATTAATAACATACCAGTCGTTCAAAATGCACCAGGGCTGTAATAAGCCCCCCGATAAACAGCAAGCATGTGATATATTGCATTCTTCTTTTACAAAATTAGACAATGAAAGTTAATTTGTATTGACTGAATTCTACTACTTTTTTGTCGTCAATGAAATAGTTTTTACTGGCTAAACTGTGGCATGTTCAAATCATGTCACTGAACTATGATGATCTCTGTTCAATATGGCAGCCTGGTGTCAAGCAGAAAGTAGTTCATCAAATGTATTTTAGGTCACAATCAAATTTGCTAAAACTATTCTTGCTAGTCTGAATTCACAATTATTTTTGTAATTAATACTCGAAAACATTTGACTTTATTTTTAAGTTACAAATATTTGATGTCTATATTACTGCACATGTAACATAGTTCATCTAAGCCAACTAAAATCAGAGTAGAGTCACAACAGCCATGATAAAATAACAACAGGATCTGAAATCAAAATTACTTTTCTTGGTAAGATTAAAACGACCAGTAGTGAGCCCAAAACATCCAGCATCATGAAAGATTTGAAGAGGGGGGGGGGGGGTCTTGAGTATCAGCATAATGATGCCTTTCAAACGTGAAGAGCTGATATACAGTACTAAAAATCCTTACTGGACATTCTTGTACTTCTTCAGTAGAACTCAGAATTTATTAATAATTTGTATATTTACATAAGAAATATTCATTGACAATAGGGTTTTTCTAAATGTACCATTCAGTTAGTTTCTAACCCTCACAAAGTTGTTACTTAAATTATTTATTATATATAATATATATACATACATCATTGAGGTCGGCATGATTTTGCCTGGTAACGAGATCGCCATCTTGACAGAGGGGCAAACAATAGCGAAGCGAGTACGACTGTGTGTTTGTAATTTATATAGGTCTACCGTATACATTACCACTGAACCTGCTGTGCAAATTCTTTAATTATTGTTTGATAGTTAACTTATCAATTGCGATGTCTTATCAATACATAGAGATAAAGTTACAACTAATTGGGCTTGATTCTTATTCCTACGAGTACCCTGCCGACTCGTGGATCATCGACCAGACAGAATGGCCCAGTGTGCAGTACCCAGACGCGTACATTTACCTTGTGTTAAAAAAAATTGGAAGACAACATTCACACAATACAAAATGAGTTGAACATGCATAATTAAAAGTCAGGCTTTGGCTCCCACGGCTTTCCTATTGCTTCCCGCAGTCAATATCTTTCAGTCACAACACTTTTCTTTCTTTATCAGTAGCTTGGTTTTTGTGGGAAAACTTGCACCAAAAAGTAAACTACCAGGCCGAACAAGTGTGTAAAACCATTATCAACAAATTGTTTTAAGACTATTCTAGGCTAGGAATGGAATCCCACAAATGTTTCCTTTGTGCTTACTGTTAAGGTGAGTTGGAAGACTGGGTATTAAATAGAAGTTCAGGTATTTTCAACTCATTATTGGTACAATTGACTATGCCACAACTTTTCCCCAGATCTGTAGGTTTGGAACAACAAAAGTTCTTCACAAACATGTTATGGATACAAGTCTAGACAGCAGGCAAGTGTACAGAACGAATAAAATTTCCCCCTTCACATTGGTTGCTATGCAAACATTGCTTTGTGGGAGGACAAAGTTCCCTGGATGTTTGACCTCCAGAATAGTTTAATTTTAATAAGACTGCAGGAGTACATATATTTAGATAGTAATGTTATTCTTTCTGTATCAACTTGAATGGGCAGGTTTTTCTGATAATGCTCAAGTCAGATCTGTAATATCAAGTTTCAGTAATTCTATTTTTAAATAAACTCAAAATTATTGGGCTGAAACAAAAGAAAAAGTTATTTTTGTAAAACATAAGTTTATCAAAAGTTTCCAAACAAAAGAAAGTAACTGTATAGATCAAAGTTAATATAACAAAGCAACATATATATTAGTGAATTGAGAAGACAATCTCCCAATTCTTATACAGAATCAATTAGTAAAATTTCATGACACATCATTAAAATCTTTTAATTATAAATCCTTTTTCTATGGCTGCCTCAGAATAGGCCTAAATATACATAGTAAACCATACAGCAGATGTCTAAAATATACATTAATCATAAAACATCACAGTTTTAAAAAAAAAAACTGTTTGTTTGTACATGAATTATATTTATACATGTATTGAATTTTTGTTGGACATAATATCCAAATCCTGTGACTTTGCCATGATGAAGATTACGTATTAGTATTAGTGCTATTGTTAATACTAATAATAATTATTTTAATACACATTGTGCTGGTCGTTTTTTTGTAATTGTTACCACTAATAATACTTTAATAGTATTGTGCACGATTACGAAGACAAATTCACCAATCATATTAATAATTTTTGCATTAATTATAATTGCGTAGAACAATAAATAAAATTTAAAATCTGTTAAGCTTTAAGCTTTTAATGTAATCCACAATTCTGAACCACTGGCGTAATAATAATAAAATAGTAATTAACACATATTATTTTTAGGCTTATTCAGTTATTGTGCAACACTTTTACGTTAGGCTTAACTTTTAAGAGTACATCGACCACACTTTGTGTTGTGTAGTCTAGGTTTAGGCCTATGATGATGGCGACCATACCGAACAGTACGTAATCATTTAACCGATCTACCATGAATTAAATAGTAATTTATAATTCTAAAATTAATACTTATAATGAGAAAATTAACTGATAACATGTGAAAATAACCACTAAATAAAATTAATAAATGTACTTAACCATTTGCTGAAATTCCATGTTGAAATTTTCGTCATCACTAAACCCAGTACGTTCAACTAGTCGAAACAACCATGCTTTCCAGAACAGAGAACTACTAAATGCACTGAGAACGAAAGATATTCTTTGATGAAAAAATCTTTATTCTAACAGCATCTCTGATTGGCCATGCTGGAAAGTGCTAGCAAATTTTAACCAATAATAGCAGACTTTTCATAAAAATATATACTCTTGTTCACAAAAATCGTTTCTTATTTCATAGATGGCACTAGCGAGAAACTAGATGAGTATATATAATTTTAATTATTTGTGAACATGTATGTATTTTTGTGTGTGTGTGTATATATATATATATATATATATACATATATATATACATGTATATAGTTTAATTTTAAACAGCTAATTCTAACATGTCATAATTAATACACACCAGTTCAAAACACACAGTTCAAATATAATTAAATAATTGTAACAAACATAGCTTCTCGAAACATTACAGTAATTTTCTTTTCAGAAGGAATTATGCACAAAAATGTAGGTTCCAAATTACGAAGGATCATTTAGAATTAAAAGTTAATGTTTCCACATTTGAACAAACAATAATTGCAGTACCATGATAAACTGTTATAAAGGCTCACACCAAGGATATTTTCCATTATTGCTGAATGCTCATAGACCGATAAAGCGTCCAAACCGTAGTTCTAAGATAATTACTGCATAAGTTTTGTTTTAAAATGTGAGAATGGCAGTCACATCACCGACAAGATTATTGAGATTCTGTTATTGTACATTGGACTACAATGACTGGAGTGTATGCTGTTTTTACAAACACATTTTGGACATAAGCATATATATCTCATTGTAATTAAATAGATATTGAAGAAGAATGCATTACTTCTATTGTATTTTCAGGTATAAACTGATTTCTCAACATGTATTAGATAGCTAGACACCCGCTAATACCAGCAGATTCGTTCATTAAATATAGAGAGTAATCTGTGTTTGATAACTTGACTGAATTTACCCGGCGTTTGTAAAATAATGAGATTGTAAAAGTTTATCAAAATGAATACAATCTTTATTATGGAACAAAAACGAAGAAAATGCAGTGTATTTACTTGTGCAGGCAGATTCATAGTTGAATCTCTTCTAAGTTAGGCTTAGTCCATCGTTATTTAGTTCCTCAGAGATCCCAAGAGAGTGCTCTGAGGAACTAAATAATGATGATTTTCAATTATGATCTTCACTCGACGATCACCTTGTAGAACTGGGCCAAGAAAGCCTGTCTGAATTCAAGAGGTAAACTCAGTTCTTTATCCAGTCAGCAGTGTCACCTTCTAACCTTTGTTTTGTCTAAGCATTGGTTAGCTGCTACATTTAGACAATGTCAACCCACCCAGCAAAAGACACTATAGTGCCAATCCTTACAGTTTGGATGTTGTAATGTCCTCTCCGGCAGAATAAACATTATCTACTTTAGAAAACAAAGAAACTAGAATAAGGCAAATTCAATGACATTTTTGGAACCACGTGTGTATGCTAAACCTGCATAGTAATTAAATAAATGAAAAATGCTAGAAAACTCTCTATCACTAAAGCACGTAGAAACCTCTGACATTCCCGAATATTACATTTTTCTTCCTTCTCTGTTTCAGGTTTGCTCGACAATTACATTATATGAGAAAAATGAACCATATATGTATAATATATAGCATAAAATGGTTAATTCCCAGTCTTCCACCTGCACTCAAGAGTGCATAAGTCAGAGGACACTCTAAATTAAAACTCAATTCAAAATATATTATAATAAATTAACAGATATAATACAAATTGTGTACCAGGACATAGTTATGGTTATGCTCTACTCACCTTAAGTTTTCCAGCAGAGCTTCTGGTATTGCCGTCATCTTTTGATTGATGGCTGTGGACACCTTAAGTTTTGGTTAGTCTGCCCCATAGGCACTGAATATACACGTATCTCGGCTGAGAACTAGCGCATTGCCTCATCTGATCATCTTTCGAATAGTAGAGGGACCAGAACTATTAGCCCTTGCCAACCCGTTCACTGGCTTTTTTTAGATACTTTCTTCAATTTACAAAATGTAACATTAATGGCACAAATTACATGTTTTTATCTCGTGGGTGATACCATTCTGCCTCCCCATGTTACCTTTACAGACTGGATTTTCATGTTGGTCAAACAACAAATATACAGGCTTAATATGTACTCATGCTTATCTTTGCCTGTAAAACGTGTACAGAAAATCCGAGTACTTCATCTTGTTTCCTTAGGATTAATTTGACCAGCTACCTGTGCTGCCATCTGTTGCTCATGTTGGACTACAGGAACACACACGCCAAACCCTCCGACCTAGCCACATCCATAGTTCACCATTTAGTTTCCACATAGACTGTTTCCAGTCCCAGTAGGAAGAAATGGAGGTCAAGATTGCTAGAGTCCTACATAGTCAAACTGACTTAGGTTAGGTGATACTAATCTTACCTTTGACCATTAGCTTCTGCCAATATATTTATTTATTTATTTAATTAAGAACTTTTTTTCGTTTAAAATTTGTGCAGCACTTTCGTATTATATGTACAGCTTGAATTTTTAATGCCTTAAAACTGTATTTTGTAATGATATCATTTTACGAAAACATTCAGTAAAAAAATTCTTCACGCTACATCATTGGAAGTATTCCTACCACAATGAAATAAAACACCCCTATCTACGTGTTATAACATCTAAGTCATTATCTGTGAATTTTATGTATTATTTATAATTTTACCCAATCATTAATATTTCAAAGATATTTTACAATACTTATGAAAACTACCATAACTGTGTTAGAACTACCAGGTAAAACAATGCTCTTTTAAAAAACAACAACATATTAGCCAATTCTTAATGTAAAGATCAAATCCTTTGTCTCCATGCTCTATTGTTTTATATATGCATCCTTCTTACTTATTACCATACTCCTTACGTAATTGATTCGTGTGTTAATGTTTTTTTTTTAAAAAACACTCATGAATGACTCCACGCAACGTTTCAACTGTACGTGATCAACACGTGTATTTGTTCACATACATAAATTACCATCATTACATTTTGTCAAGTACTCTAGTGGTTTATACACCTTGCTTCCGTCAACCATTTCAATAACATTCAAATTCGTGTTGTTACTACTATAATTTAATGCACATTCAGAAAAAGCCGGACTCCCCTGTTGATAGTAAGTTTGACAAATCTTGCTCTAACACTGATGAAAAATCTAGCAAGTACCAGGTGGTATGCTCTGCAAAGATCTCTCCAATTAGATGGACTATTGGAATGATTTTCTTGAAACATTCCATTATATTTCGTATTACAAAATCCACCCAATCTTCACCCAGCAAGGGTCAAAACTCCCTTTTAATTTTAATGAACCATGAGAAATTCATATTCTTGCAATGTTGTTAACCAATGTGCAATAATTTCCTCCAGATTTTTAGAGCTTAATAACCATTTCATTGAAGCATAGTTCATCTGGAGGGTAAACTTCTTACCATATAAGTTATGATATTTCGTGAAGATAACCATCACAAACAGCTCTTTCTTCATCATACAGTGTCCGAATTCAGGAGCCATAAGCATTTGACTAGCATATGTGATTTAACACATTCCACTTCATCCTGCAACCATGATAACAGTGTTACTGGTGAGGATGTTCAACAGAAACTCTTAGTCTTGGCATGGATACGCAAGTACCGAGGCATCCACGAACGACCTTTAGGGACCGGAATGGCCAATCACATTCTCACAGTCTTGGCATGGATACGCAAGTACCAGAGCATCCACAAACAAGCTTTTGGGATTGGAATGGCCGATCACATTCTCTCATACCAAAGTGCACTTCTACTTCGTGAGAGACAACAATAGTGTAGCTAATGCTGAGAAGTTGGCCTCAAATCAGTGGTAGCACGAAACTAAGGAAACTGATAATTGCTCATTTTGTTGTAGGTCAAGGCTAATCTCATACTGAAGTTATCTTCGCCTTGTCCATCGAGACTCCACCTCTCTCCGAAATGTGACTGAGAAACTCCACTTTCATTTGTGTGGTTTTAGTTTCAAGTTTGCCATTCAAATTCACTGGAACATTATCTTCATATTCTTAGATATGAGCTTGAATGTGTGGCCGAACATCAAAAACATCACTAACGTAGAGCAGGCATATCTCCAAATGCAGTCTCTTGAGTGCAGGATCCATCAGCTGTTCTAAAGTAGCTGGGTACATTACGCAGATGTAATGTGAACCATCTCTCCTAAGTATCCTCCTAACCTGCCACTGATGTGACAGAGAATCTTTCCATTGTGAAAGGCACTTCGAAATGGAAATTACTGTCACTTTAATCATGTGTTCACAGTTAAAAACGCAGTGAGTTCAGAAGAATTTTATTTCAAACTCTGGATCCTTCAATATGCAGACTGTCATACTAACCACTAGGTCACACCCACTCTTCTGTGCATGAAGTTCTTGATAACAGTAAATTATTTGGAGTTTTCTTGTCCACAGAAGCCAATAAAAGTCCAGTGTGAAGGAGTTGTCAGTTTTTTTAAAATGTGATTCACCTACTGTTTTGATCCTACATGTGTTTTAATACAATAAGTGGTGTCAGGAGTTGTCAGTTTTTTTAAAATGTGATTCACCTACTGTTTTGATCCTACATGTGTTTTAATACAATAAGTGGTGTCAGGAGTTGTCAGTTTTTTTAAAATGTGATTCACCTACTGTTTTGATCCTACATATGTTTTAATACAATAAGTGGTGTCTTCATGTACTATTTCAAACATTCTTTAAAATGTGATTGACCTGGTAATAAACGAACCGTGTAAGCAAGGAAAGCACAAAATGTAGAAAAACAAACAAGGTAAGACACTCAGAAAATTAGAATAAGTACATTGCGAACTTAAAAACATTTTGAGTAAAGCTCCTTCATCAGGTTTGCAGTCATTTTAACTGGTTATCTGTTTTGTTCTCACTACAAACTCGATGAGGGGTTGTTGCCAGAAACGTTGTTTTCAAAATCATCAATAGACTTATATTAATTTGGTAATTACTTCACATCCTTTGTTCTCTACTATTTAAAGAAAACAAAATTGTAATGATAATAGCTGAATGTATAGAAATATAATTTTGTAAAATTAAGTATCATTCTTTTAAGATTCCTTTAGAAAAACTCTGTATTATTAAATAAATTCAAGTCCAAATCGAACAAACCAGCAAGGATAATTTATTATAGTTCCAAATGTCCCGGTGTATGCTGAAATGTGTACACTAATATATCTCCACCAGTAAAAAGATACACATTGAAAAAAAAGTAACATAAGTTTATATCTCAACTATAGGCCAAACTTCTAAACATCTTACAGATATGTTGACCTTAAACAGTTAACTAGAAAAGACGTGGACAGCAGACAAGATATAAAATTAACACATAACACCTATGTGTGGACAGCAGACAAGATATAACATCAACACATAACACCGATGTGTGGACAGCAAAAAAGATATAACATCAACACATAACACCCATGTGTGGACAGCAGACAAGATATAACATCAACACATAACACCCATGTGTGGACAGCAGACAAGATATAAAATTAACACATAACACCCATGTGTGGACAGCAGACAAGATATAAAATTAACACATAACACCTATGAGTGACAGCAATAATGTGCAGAGGTCTCATTAACTAAAAATAAAGGTATTTTTCAAGCATTGTAAGGCAAATCCTTTTTCGGAGGAGTATTAGAAGAGACTATTCCATTTGAATAAACAAGTAATATTTATCTGGACTTCTATTAATTTTCTCATGATAAACTGATCATAAATTTGTTTCTTTCATACATTGGTACTCTGTTAAAATTCATTGTTAATTTGTTACTTGGCAGTCAGTCAACATTAGTTATTAATTTGTTACTTGGCAGTCAGTCAACATTAGTTATTAATTTGTTACTTGGTACTCAGTCAACATTAGTTATTAATTTGTTACTTGGCAGTCAGTCAACATTAGTTATTAATTTGTTACTTGGTACTCAGTCAACATTAATTATTAATTTGTTACTTGGTACTCAGTCAACATTAATTATTAATTTATTACTTGGTACTCAGTCAACATTCGTTATTAATTTGTTACTTGGTACTCAGTCAACATTAGATATTACTTTGTTACAAAATTTCTTATCAACAGTCATTCTTCAAAAACCACATAACCTCTATAGGCTAGCTATGTGTTTCCACCTCGGGTATCAAAATCCAATTTTTAGAGCTACAATTCCACAGATTTCCCACTGAACCACCTGGTGGGGCTTGAGTTAAGGAATCCATCTCCATGTTATCACTAATAATTCTGTTATTTTTCATAAATAAAAGTTTCATTTGTTAGATAACATGAAACCCATTACTAGATATACTTTGATAAAAAAAAAAGAGTTCTTAATCATTTCTACAAAACATCCGCGGTTACATAGAATGAAAACAAAATTATGAACAATGAAAAATTTCAAAGGTATTTTTCTTTCCAAAACCAAATTTTTTAAAATTAATAGTTACTTCAAAGACAAGCTATCCGAAACTTTTAATTGGATTGATTTATTAAAACAATTCTGTTTGATATTTAGCTTGTCAGTTCTTAATGAATATTAAAAAATAGTTAGGAAAAATTATTTACTGACTGTTTTTATTATTATTATAACTTGGATATCTTAGAACTGCGAATATTATTAAACTCAAAAGGAAAAGGGGATTATTTATAATACCAGACTAGTCAGGGAGTTAAAATCTGACCTCATGGTTATGGGACTACCACTAGTTGGATGTTAACCTCAGGGTTGTGGGACTACCACTAGTTGGATGTTAACATCAGGATCGTGAAACTATCAGTAGTTGGATGTTAACATCAGGGTTATGGGACTACCACTAGTTGGATGTTAACCTCAGGGTTATGGGACTACCACTAGTTGGATGTTAACACCAGGGTTATGGGACTACCACTAGTTGGATGTTAACATCAGGGTCGTGAGACTATCAGTAGTTGGTTTAGTGGTAGTCCCATAACCATGAGGTTAACGTTGGATGTTAACATCAGGGTTGTGGGACTATCAGTAGTTGGATGTTAATTCTTCTGTGGTAATACAACCTTCCCTTCCTGGGATTGAACCAAGTACCTCTTACTTCTATCTGTGAAGTAAGTTTTCTACCATCTGAGCTAAAGGGTTAACCCCCCACCCCCTTGCTAGTAAAGCAGTTTTTATTCTTACAGCTCTCACTACTACTCTTGGACTTTTTTTTAAAAGCTCATCCCACAGCATTATCATGAATGGTTGATCCTACTTTAGTTACTTTTATTATTTTTACTTTATAATCATTATTTTTACTTTATAATATATAACGCATCATTTGAATATCTGTTCAAGGTATTTGAAGAAAACAACAGATTTTCATAACTCTATTATCTGGGTAGTGTAAGTGGCAATCACTTGGGTTACTGCCAGAACTTGAGTGATAAAAATTAATCGTAATCTGGTACCTGAAGCTGGTAGATTAATTAGATCCACTTCATATTAAAACGATTAGTAAAAAATTTTCATAAAAGCTATTACAAGATATATGTTTGTAAATGAATTCAAGATCAACCTCAACAATCTGAATTAGATTCCAGAATGTTCTACAGTTAGAAGAGGTCAGAAAAATGATTTACCTAGAACTGCCCCCTCTGTGTGCGACACAATTACGTTCTCTCTAAACTGGGTCCAGCTGATAGCAAACAAGACTGTTCGGTAAGTATGAGTAGGTCAGAGGTCTGAAGGAAACCAGTAATTGTCACTAATCTAAAATACTGTAAGGAACACGCGTTAAATATTCATTATTTAACTTCTGTAGTGCACATTAGTGTATAAAAGACGTTTTAATTCTAGAAATAAACGACTGTACGATAAGAGGATTCGGTGTTTTAATGTAGTTTATTTCTAGAATTAAATTGTGTCAAATACTGCTGAGTAAAGACTGAGAAAAATTAATTAACAAAAAGTTAAACCAAAAATCTTGCTATGTTACACTTAGAAATAAGTTACCATTTTCAGAAGTTTGAGCCAAAATCTTCCTGGGTTACAACCTACAAATAATTGAACATTTTCAGTAGTTTGATCCAAAATCTTGCTGGGTTACATGTTATTTTATAATTCTATTTAATTTTTCTTTCAGAAAAATTGTTTATATTATCTTATAACATGAAATGAGAAAACATAAAACATATGTTTTTTGATAAAATGCTGCAAGATTTCAGTTCAATAACTCTTGTGTTAAGTATCACCATTGAGTGTTTACAATGTACGAAACAGGCTGCATTTCAATATTAATCACATTCCAACACAGAATACCAGTATTACTACCATTTAAAAAATACTTTCATCAGCCCTTTGTCAAAGTGTATATTTCTTTTATATTGGAAGCTATCATACGTTAATGTATTTTGGCTTTTCTTAATTGATATTACTTCCTTTATAAAAACCCGTACTTCCAGCTAAAGCTTATTACTTGATATTACTTCCTCTATAAAAACCCGTATTTCCAGCTAAAGCTTATTACTTGATATTACTTCCTCTATAAAAACCCTGTACTTCCAGCTAAAGCTTATTACTAGATATTACTTCCTCTACAAAAACCCTACTTCCAGTAAAAGCTTATTACTTGATATTACTTCCTCTATAAAAACCCTGTACTTCCAGCTAAAGCTTATTACTAGATATTACTTCCTCTACAAAAACCCTGTACTTCCAGCTAAAGCTTATTACTGATATTACTTCCTCTACAAAAACCCTGTACTTCCAGCTAAAGCTTATTACTGATATTACTTCCTCTACAAAAAAACCCCATACTTCCAGTAAAAGCTTATTACTTGATATTAATTCCTCTATAAAAACCCCATACTTCCAGTAAAAGCTTATTACTAGATATTACTTTTTCTACAAAAACCCCATACTTCCAGTAAAAGCTTATTACTTGATATTAATTCCTCTAT